GTGGAGGCGGAGATGGGGATGGGGATCTCGTGAAATGGGGAGGGAGGGGAGGGGAGGGAGCAAGCAAGGAATGATGAAGGCGAGCGGGCGAGAGGGAGGGAGGGCGGGCGGGCGGGCGGGCGGGGGTGGGAGTGGAGTGCTGCGGGAGGGGAGGGTAGATTTGGAGGGAGGCCGGGGGCAGTAAACAGCGCCGCAGCGGCGCCGCGCGGTGGAGTGAAAATGGAAAGAGAAGGAGGAGGCCTAGCGCGCCCAGCCCAGCGAGCATTTCGCCCGCGGTCTCTCTCCTCTCGCTGCTTTTCTTTTCCTTTCATCATCAGGAAAAGATGAAGATTTCCAGCAGATGAATAACAGTGAATTTTCAATCGGATAGACAAAATGTCAAACAACAACTTGGCACGCCACCAAGGAAGTGAATGCAAAGGTTAAATGAGGTTTTTCTTTACATGCATTGACCATTTCGGCTCGACGAGCGTCACCCGTATCTTTCGGCGTCTCTTCACATACGCCGGTACGTAAGCACAACACCTCTCACTTGTATCTTTCGGCGTCTCTTCACAGACGCCGGTACGTAAGCGCAACACCGTGTTGACGCTCAAAAGTGGCACGGTTAAAAAGAGTAGCTTGAAGCTATGTCAAGATTAATTCAAATTTATTATTGAAAGTCACCATTTGATGGCTCTCTTCAAGATAATCAACGTAAATGTGAAGATGGATCAAAACGGAGCTCAAGTGCAAAAGATATGCCAATTTCGGAGATACTCGTGTTGACATCAGATTAGAGAATGGCATGGAACCTAATTAAGATGACCTCTGATGGAAAAAGTTACAATTGAAAAGTTCTTCGTCTCGTCGAAACGGACAATTTTGATATAAAGATCGTCCCCATCCGAGGTCGTATGCAAAAGTTATAGGCAAAACCGTGCGCTGCACCAATGTTGGCCGGATAATCCGGGCCAGGGTCCGGATCATCCGGGTAATTGAAGCACTAAGATTCCAGAAGGTTAGCGCTGAAGCCGGATGATCTGGGTCAACTCCCGAATAATCCGGGTAAAGGCCGGACAGTCCGGGCAATCGTCTGGACGTCCGGACAAGTTTTTCTGCTGCAGATGTTAGAAAATAGCCCGAAACTCCCTCAAGATGACTTCAGATCAAAAAGTATTCAACAGCAAAGTTGTGCGTCTCGTCGAGGCGGTTGATTTTCATATAACAATCATCTTAATCCGAATTCGTATGCAAAAGTTACAGCCTGATTAGTGGACTGCTGTCAGAAATCTGGGCTTGGCCGGATCATCCGGGCCTAGAGCCGGACATCCGGGCCGGAGGTCGTGAGAAGTCCGAATTTGGTTAGATTTTGATGATTTGGACGGCAAGGCAAGTACTTTTCTTGTACGGAAAGTCCATCCGCCTCTTATATAGACAAGAGGTGACGGCCGATTAAACAACACACAATCGAACAAATCAATCTATCATCTTTTACCTTTATCTTTATCTCTCTCCCTTGTTCTTCTTCTGCCTCGTTCTTCGTTCGTTCTTCTTGTTGCAGGGCGGCGAACCTCGAGGCCCTAGGGGCGGTCAGGCCGACCTAGGGCAGCCCATAGCCGCCGCGCGCCCTGACGGGGTCCCTCCCGGGTGTGTGGGGTTTCGGGTCTACAAAAGCGCCCGCCGGATTGTCTTGCGTACCGCGCTTCCGGCGGGTCTCCTTCGACGTGAGCTGCGGTACATCACCCCCGGCGTCGAGGGTACACGGTGACGTGTTCGTGTGCGAACACATTTTTTGGCGACTCCGCTGGGGACGAAGCTTTGAACGGTCTCCAGCCCGTTCTTGCTACGAAGAGATCGTCATCTAGGATTTGCGATCTACAAAGGTAATATGAATACCCAATTCACATATGTAGATGCAAATAATGCATATGTTGTTGTTAGATCATCTAATGAGCATAATGTATCGGCTAGCCCTAGCTTTATCAATCATGCATCTAATTATGTGCAAGGGCCGATGCAACAAAATATTCATGGTTCTATTTCATATAATTTTAGCAACATGCAACATATGTATCCCAACTCCCATGCATCGGCAACCCCACAAATTTATATGCCGATGAATAACATGATGAGTTCGGTTAATCAAGTTGAGACACCCCTATGTAGGAACTTCCAATGTTATGCAACAAAGTGTTTCAAGTTTTTATTCATCGGCAAATAACTTGCAGTATGTTAATCCAAACGTGCCGGTGGATAGGGGAATTGGCCATGTTACTACTAGTTATTTGGCCAATTACCCTCAAACATCATATGCTACACCTAATGCTACTAATTTTTTGGCACCATATGCTACTGTTGATGTCCACAATTCGGCTCCGCACCTTCATGGTCATGGCCGAATAAGTGAAACTTCTGCAGGAGCACAAATGCCTTCACCTACTACTGTGGCATATCATGTACCCCCTACACAATTACAGAATTTCGGCAATATCTCATTGCCGAAAGAGTCTAAAAGCATTGGGGGGCAACCATATCCAGACTGGGTGGTTGAGAACAAGCTTACATTCTCTTGGGATTTGTGCAACTCCATTCGACAGGAACTAATAGAAGGCGGGAAGCCTCATGATTTTGCTGCAGTAAAAGCTAGAGTTGTGCAAATGATGCAGTCGCCCAGTGCTGTACCATCCAGTGTACCATCTAAACAATTGCAAAGTTTCGGCACCTCATTGCCGAAAGAGTCTCAAAGTATTGGGGGGCAATCTCATGACGAGTGGTTGGAAATTGAGATGAAAAAGTTTAAAGCTCGCCAAGCTGAGATGTGGGCTAAAATTAGACAAGAGCGAGAAGCCTTGCAAATTCAAAAGGATAAAGTTATTGATTCAGGTAACAAAGAAAATTCGGTTACTGAAAAAGCCGAATCAAGTAGTATATATTCTGAGTCCATCAAATTCAAAGAAGCAAGCATTATTGAGACAGGGCATGGAAAGCATAGCAAGACAGTCATGCTTGATTTTTCTGAAGTTAATGGAACATACTTCCTGCCCTATGAGTTTCGTGCCATAGAAATTGACAAGCTTCAAGGACAAGAGCAAGTAGCCGAAGAGGGTTCGGTTGACAAAGATCTTCAAATTTATGATGCACGAAATCAAGAAGAAAATTGTGACATGGTGTTGGGAAGCCATCCAGAAGCAAAGCACAATATTATTCACCACATGCGATCATCATGCTCTCCCAACATATTTGAAGAGGTATGTTTAGCAAGTAATTTACCTATTTTCAAATTTGGTCAGAACTTTATTGTTGATGCATCTATTAGAAAAATCCTCATAAGTAATTTTGAAAGACCAATGAAGAAGGGTAATTTACTTGTTAGCAATAAAATTGTTATGGAACATATCGGTCAACCCATTACGCCATGTATAAAGACCGATATTGACTTATTATTACAGCCAAAGCTTTCCCCGTTGCTTTTTCCAAAGTTCATATCTAGTTGGGTAGCTTTGCTTATTTCGTACTTGGCTTGCACTTGGTCTCAGCTGAGACATGTATGTTCTAAATATCTTTGTTTCAGAAATTTAAAGCCAAGGTTAAACTCTATTGAGAAAACTGATGCTAATATAATATCTTATCCAAAGACATCGGAGATAGAGTGGAA